ACAGAAGCAAAGGGAGCACTTCAGCTCGGAGGCACCCGCACACCAACTCACAGCTCACAGTTAACCATGGGAGTCACGGCTGCCACAGGCCACGAACAAGAGTCACGGGTTTTACTATCAAAGAGAAACCTTTTTAAATAATATGACAAATACTAACATTAGCCAAAGTGTCAAGACCTATACGAGATTCCCCGCCTTTTAACATCCAAGTGTGACCATGTGTGAGATACCTTCAAAGTCCAATGACACACAGTCATTTGTTTTTTAGTTTTTAATAACTAATTTGGCTCATTATAAAAGCGATATATGATCATTATAGAAAACTTGGAAAATACAGAGAAAGTGTTAAAAGATTATTAAAATCACCCTTAAGCACTCCACTAGAAATATATCCAGTATATACCAGATTTCCTTTTCCTTCCAATCTTGTTTCCTTTTTTTTTTTTTTTTTTTTTTTGAGACAGGGTCTCATTCCGTTGCCCAGGCTGGAGTGCAGTGGCACAATCACAGCTCACTGTAGCCTCAACTCCCTGGCTCAGGTAATCCTCCTGCCTCAGCCTCCTGAGTTGCTGGGACTACAAGCATGCACTACCATGCCTGGCTAATTTTTGTATTTTTTGTAAAGAATACAAAATTTTTCCAGGTTTCCCAGGCTCGTTTTGAACTCCTGGGCTCGAGCGATCCACCGGCCTCCGCCTCTAAAAGCACTGGGATTATAGGCATGAGCCGCCGCACACAGGGTAGTCTTCTTTCTACGGAGATAGGTGTATGGCAAACGTGTGTTTGTTTTATGGTTTAACTTTTGTTCATTTTGTTGGGACCCAAATTTCAATCCTCCTTCTGCGAGGTTCCATGAACTGTGAAAGCCTTGGCGGGAGGAAGCCCAGCTCGGCCGCCCAGAGCCTGCGCCTCAGCCAAGTCCTGCTTCCTCCTGGTGTCGGGCACAGTGACGCTGATGAAGTCACACATGACGGGTTTTACAGTGGGAATCACACTCTACCGTGGTGTTTGGGACCGACGAAAGCCTCGGAGCACATCCTTCACAAATGTCAAGAGCCAAGTGTCATTGACGCGAGGGCTTTTTCTCCTCGGGTCTTGCTGGTGTCCTTTCCAGTCATATCACAGTAACAGACAAGCACATAAATCTTCTGTGCTATTCGTCATAAAGAGCAAGTGTCAAGGCAGCAAACTGTATAAACACAGCTGGCACACAGTAAAACTATTTAGATAACTGGTGGATTTATTTTGTTATTTCATATCCCATACTATAATAGTACCTAGGACATGGTAAATGTTGAATGCAAGACGAATATTATTAACTGGGACATTGAAATCATTTCTGCAGACCCAAAAGAAAGTGCCACCAATATAATAGAAAACTATAAAATTATACTATGTGAAACTGATACAGAGAGAAAAAAATTAAATCTCTGAAGAACAACTTTATAGTTCTAGGATTCTGTATGCCAGGCAGCCTAGCTCAGCAGCGACACCCTGTGGCGAGAGATCTTTGATTCCCAGCAACAGAGCCACAGGAAGCAGAAAGCGGGCCCAGGCATCCAATCCCTAAGGCAGGTGATGAGCTGAATGGACAGGGGGATTTAGCAGATGACTGGGTGCCAAGATTCTTCCATGAAACTTAATTCCATGGGGATGACAGAGATCTGTTAAGTAGGGATGCCGGAAAGAAACCCAAATGCAAAGTACAAACCCAATTCCACTCCCAGGCTCTGTGGTCCAGGTCTATAAACACTGACCCACAGCACAGTGACCGGATACAGGAGGAATTCAGCCTTCTCTGGAAAGACCAACTCAGTCGTGTAGATCCACGTTCAAATTCATTTGCATCATCCTTTAGATAACTTGTATTCCAAGAAAACATCAGATAGAACTGAATTCTGCCATTTCCTTCTTTAGCAGATTCAAGGTCATCTAAGCAGTTAATACAGAGGCCAGGCATGGTGGCTCACGCCTGTAATCCCAACACCTTGGGAAGACAAGCCAGGCACATTTTTGAGCTTAGGAGTTCAAGACCAGCCTGGGCAACATGGAGAAACCCCGTCTCTACAAAAAGTATTTAAAAATTAGCCAAGTGTGGCGATGCAAACCTGTAGTCCCAGATACTAGCAGGGGCTGAGGTGGGAGGATCTCATGAGCTTGGGAGGTTGAGGCTGCAGTGAGCCATAATTGCACCACTACACTCCAGCCGGGGCAACAGAGCAAGACCCTGCCTCAAAAACTAACAATAAACATTAATAAATGAGGGTATGTACAACATACACATAATCATTCCATTCCTTGGGCTCCCAAAGTAAAGCAGAACTCAGTCAGAAATAAGCAACTGAGACGAGAGTAGTCCACAGCACAGATACTCAAGAAAACCAGCAAGGCCAAGTGGAGGGCCCGCAGTGGGAAGTGAACGTTTCTGAAAATAATTCTTTTCTGAAGTTATTATGTAATAAGGGGCTTAGTAGGGAGTGATCGTGTATGTGTATACAGAGCAAAATATTTGCTCTAATCATGTTCAAGCATTTCATTCCCAAGGTTTGTGAAAAGGGAAATCAGTACTCCCGCAACTGATCAATCAATAGGTGAAAATGTATCACCTCCCACTGCCCCAGGCTGTTTAAAAAAACTGAAAGAACAAAAATGTGAAGTGTCTGTTGTGTGCTTGAATATAATTGGACACATGATACAAAGCCCCAACTTGGGTATTCAGGTCATACTCATCCTAAATACACCAGAAATGCCAAGAATTCCAAACTTCTGCCCACAGGTGAATAACCTGGGGCGGGGCTGCTCTTTCCTATCCACTGCTCTGTCCAAGAGTCTGGAGGTCAAGTCCAAAGACCAGCATGATCAGAACTCCCAGAAAGGGCAGGGCCAGGCCACCTCACTCCCTGACTTCCCCGGCTGGGAGCCTCTGAGCAGGCACTCGCTAAGGTAGCCAGCCCCAGCACTCCACGCCCAGGAAAAGAGGGACAGCGAAGGTCTAGGGGAGTGGGACACCAGTCACACTTCCCAACATGGCCCTGCCCCACTCCTCCAAGGTGGGTTGCCCATAACACTTGAAGCCCTGAGGGCTGGTTTTATTTTGATTTTTTTTTTATAAGTCACAAGTCAGAGGTGACACTTCCTTCTATTAATGCAACACATAAAAACAGAGATACTCCACTCTCTCGGGATGCTCTGAGCTCCTGGGACAGAGAGGCAAACAAAAGGCACACCATTAATTCCAAAGAGCATCCATCAAACCAGTGCAAACTGGCTAAAGACTGGATGAAAGTATAATAAAAGAAAGTTTCTTAAATAGAAAAAAAAAAATTGGGCTGTGCACAGTGGCTAACGCCTGTAATTCCAGCACTTTGGGAGCCCAAGGCAGGCAGATCACCTGAGGTCGGGAGTTCAAGACCAGCCTGACCAACATGGAGAAACCGTGTCTCTACCAAAAATACAAAATTAGCCAGGTGTGGTGGCACATGCCTGTAATCGGGAGGATGAGGCAGGAGAATCACTTGAACCCAGGAGGCAGAGGTTGCAGTGAGCCGAGATTGCACCATTGCACTCCAGTCTGGGCGACAAGAGCAAAACTCCATCTCAAAAAAAAAATCATTCATTACTATATTATTCATTTTTAAATTAAAAACATACCTGTAGTCTTTTAAAACAAGGTAACAGGCACTTGTTAGACACATTATACACATTTAACTCATTCAACCCCAACAACGTAGTAATTGCACTATCGTCTAAATAATACAATTTATGCAGAACTTTCACATATATGATTTCATCTAGTCCTCAAATAACCCTATAAGATGTTCCAATCCCAAATGCTCTCAGATTTTCTGTCTGTCTTCTCCAAGTGAGCCCATCATCCCGAGATAGCTCATAGCTCTGCCATCCTCCAAAAACTAAGGGACACAGTGTAACACAAAGGAAATTGCCTCCTTTTTAAAAAATGCTGGGGTGAGAGGTAAAATTTGTTCTGTTCAAGAGAAAGCAGCTAAGTTTGGTGTTTTTTTGTTTTTTTTGAGATGGAGTCTCGCTCTATTGTACAGCCTGGAGAGCAGTGGGGCGATCTAGGCTCACCACAACCTCCGCCTCCCAGATTCAAGCAGTTCTCTCCCTCAGCCTCCCAAGTAGCTGGGATTGCAGGCATCTAACACCACATCCGGCTAATTTTTATATTTTCAGTAGAGATGGGGTTTCTCCATGTTGGCCAAGCTGGTCTTGAACTCCTGACCTCGTGATCCACCCACCTTGGCCTCCCAGTTTGATGTTTAAAGTCATCAAGACTATTGAGTGTTTGCAGAAACTACATGGTTATGTTATTAAACTCACAAATTTGTCTGTTCAGAGAAGACAACAGAGATAGACAAAATAATTTGTCACAATGACTGCGAAACTGACAGCATGGCCAAGCCAGGGGGATTAGCAAGAACACACACCTGGGGAATCTGGCGACCTGCCCAAAACCAGGTATCAATCACAGGCAGCAGGTGCAAGCACCGGCCGAGAAAAGTCCCGAACACATTCCCAGCTCCATGGGCATTTTCTTGTTAGACACGACTCACAGAGTGAACTGAAACTCGGAGCGCAGCTGCCACAAGATGGCAGACATGAGCACAAATGTGACTGTTCCGAAGATTGGCTGACAGCTGCCCAAATCAAAACAAATGTTTTCAATCCCAAATGAATAAAATGACGGTTTCTAAATATACTCCTGACACAGGGACCCGCCTCCACCTAACGTGGAAAGGGCCGCACCTGCGGACTTCACACCTTTCTAAGCTCTACTAGTCGTCCCTCCCTCACACGTAATGCTCCCCCACAAAATGAATACTTGCACATCTTGAAGATGATTTTCAAACCCAAAGTCAAAACGGAAATGAAAAATCAAAATCAAAACCAACCAAAATAAAACAATGAAAGGCAACTGGTCGCCACTGTGAAGGGGGCCCCATTGCGGTGCGCTCCGCCCAGCTGAGCCTACAACTCACCTCCGCGGCTGACAGCAAGTAAAGAGGCGTTAAGGCAGGAACCTGTTTCATGTCACAGCTGAGGCCGAGGGTCGTCAGGATCTCTCTAAGGACTTCGTACCTTCTAAAATTGCTTGACTTGAGCAAGTTAAAATCTTCTGGAGTTTGCACGATGTCAGAGCTGGGAGGTAGTTCTAAGTGCACCTGAAGGGAAAGACAACACTTTGTAAACTGGGGGCAGTCACAGGCAGTAAGAAAAACAGTTTTTGGGTTTTTTTTTTTTTTCTTTTTAAATTTAGAGATAGGATCTCATTATGTTGCCCAGGCTGGTCTTAAACTGCTGGGCTCAAACGATCCTCCCGCCTCAGCCTCCCAAAGTGCTGGGATTACAGACAGGTATGAGCCACGATGCCTGACAAAAAAATTTCTTTACCAGTTTTCTTCTCCAAGTGAGCCCATCACACCCAGAGAGCTCATACCTTTGCTCTCCTCTCAAAGTTAAGGGACACAGTATAATCCAAAAGAGAAAACCTGAACATGAATTTTTCTAATTATCAATAGCATATAAACTCTGAAGCTGCATATCTGGAAAGTCATGGCCAACAAGAAAATGATTCCAAAAAGCCTGTTAAAATTGTGATTGGCTGGCTGGGTGCAGTGGCTCACGCCTGTAATCCCAGCACTTTGGGAGGCCAAGGCAGGCAGATCACCTGAGGTCAGGAGTTTGAGACCAGCCTGACCAACATGGAGAAACCCGTCTCTACTAAAAATACAGAAATTAGCTGGGTATGGTGGTGCATGCCTGTAATTCCAGCTACTCGGGAGGCTGAGGCAGGAGAATTGCTTGAATCTAGGAAGGGGAGGTTGCAGTGAGCTGAGATCGTGCCACTGCACTCCAGCCTGAGCAACAAGAGTGAAACTCCATCTCAAAAAAAAAAAAAAAAATTCATGGTTGTCAGGCTGAGAGGCCATGGTGGAAATGACCCTGGACAGTCTCTCTCTCCAGGTACTGATGTTCCACACTCATCAGCCATGTGGCCCTCTGCAAGTTACTGAACTTGGTTAAAGGAACAAAATATCTAGAAAGACAATTGTGCTGAAAACGTAATTGCAAGTGAGTTCAAGGAGGCAAATGAGTCATGCTGGAAACTTCCATTTGACCTATTAGCCATAACTGGAAAATAAAACCGGGGAAGAGAGCAGCCTTATTCATCATTTTAAGGGAGTTTGCAAGAGGCTGGGCTCATACCTGTAATCCCAACACTTTGGGAGGCAGAGGTGGGAGGATTGCTTAAGCCTAGGAGTTTCAGACCAGCCTGGGCAACATAGTGAGTCCCTCTCTCTACAAAAAATATAAAAATTAGCCAGGGATGGGTGGTGTGCCTGTAGTCCCAACTACTTGGGAGGCTGAGCTGGGAAGATCCCTTGAACCCAGGAGGTTCAGGCTGCAGTGAGCTATGATCGTGCCAGTACACTCCAGCCAGGGCAACAGAGTGTGACCCTCTCAAAAAAAAAAAATAGAGAGAGAGAGAGAGAGAGAGAGTTTGCAGGAACTCAAATACAGCAGGTCCTTGAATAATGTTGTTTCACTCAAAGTCATTTAGTTATGAAGTTGATACGGGGGAAAAAAAATCACTTCCCCCACCGGGGCCACAGTCTGTGTGGGTCTGCACATTCTCCCCGTGTCTCCTCGGGTTTTCTCCAGGTCCTCCGTTTTCCTCCCACATCCCCAAGCTGTGCACATCAGTGCATGGCCGTGTCTGCATGGTCCCGGGCTGAGAAGTGTGGGTGCGGGTGTGAGTGTGCCCTCCCATCCCGGCCAGGGCTGGCTCCCCACCAGTGCCCTGAGCTTCCAGGATGAGCTCCAGCCGCCCGGCCGCCCACCAGGCTGACCTGAAATAATTAGGGAAATAATTATCTTATGTTTTTATTCATCTTTCTTAAATGTACGTACAACTCATATTTATTTCAATGTTTCAGTGTTTGGGCCTGTATTTAGAAGTTTGCTGATGTCTCTGGAACAGAAATATGCCATGGGAACTGACTTCTTGTTTGTATCAATTAGCCTACGCTAACACTGGCTTCGTCATATGTCATTTCGCTTAAGTGTGCCATTTCCAAGAACCTCTCAACAACTTTAAGCAAGGACTTACTGAGGAAGAAGGAGTAAGATTTCTTGGACACCAGAAAGGCCTTTCCTGCCACCCTCCTTCCCCTGAGTGAATTTTAAGTCTTGGAACTTCACCTCGTGACTTTAGGCTTTGTTGTCTAGTTAAAATTAAAATTAAAATGTCTCCACCTATCAACAGTCTCTGTCGTGGTATGAAGGAACTTACTGGAACCTCTAGCTGCCCTGAGATCAGACTTTAAATGAGCATTGGAGCCCAGAGGTTGCCAGAACACTAAGTACCCAGAAAAGCAAACTGAGCTCCTTTGCCTTATTTTGTTTTGGCTTTGCCGACTGTATGCAAAGCTTCTAGCCTGATATTATAGAAGTATTATGAAAATAGAAAAGCATAGTGCCAGCTTTCAGGCCACTTAAAATCTCTCAATTCCCACCCATGACTTAACCAAGCCAAATATATCAACCAAATGTTAAACGTTAAGGCCTGGCTGGGTGTGGTGGCTCTCGCCTATAATCTCAGCACTTTGGCAGTCCGAAGCAGGAGGATCACTTGAGGCCAGCAGTCGGAGACATGGCCAACATGGCGAAACCTCATTGCCACAAAAAATACAAAAATTAGCCAGGTGTGGTGGCACATGTCTGCAATCCCAGCTACTTGAGAGGCTGAGGCACAAGAATCACTTGAACCTGGGAGGCAGAGGCTGCAATGAGCTGAGATTGTGCCAGTGCACTCCAGCCTGGGTGACAGAGTGGGATTCTGGCTCAAAAAAGAAAAGTTGAGTCTAATCAGAAAAGGTCTGCAGGACACTGCCCAACATGGTCCCCAAACCACCAGCTGGTCAGCTGCAGGCTGGCTGCTTCCCCCAAGACTGAGGACGCCGATCGGGGCAACAGGTCAGGTGTGCCTGTTCTCTAGATAGCCCTGGAGATGGGGAGAGGCAGAAAAGCCAAACCCTCTAAGGAATCGTATCCTACTCAGTTGCTTCTACCCTAAATGTGCACCTCTCCTCTCCGGTGGACAAAGCCATGCCAATGTAGACAAAGAGCACAGCGGCAAGACCTATTTAATTCACGTGAGCACATGGCTGTCTCAGAGATGAACCCTTACGGGTGGCAGAAATGAAGTAAGTCAAGTTCCTTTCCCACCAGAGCCGACGGGATGAGAGAGGTACACGACTGAATGCATCTGGGCTCACTGAGCAGGGCTACACAGAGTATCCGAGGCGCACACATCGTGAATTGTATGAACTCATTTTCATATAAGAAAGATGCCAGGATGGGAAACTGGATGAGCTACAAGTGGGCCGAGGTCCAGGAGACCAGGAGGAAGACAGCCGCTGAAAGCCCAAGGACTGCTTTGCTTCACTGTCTTACGGTTTCAAGATGTAGGCGCTTCTACCATGGAAACAGGAAAAGAGGCCACCTCCGGTTCTATGCTCCCAATGAGCAGGGAGACGTGGCACGCCAGTGTGTGGGTGGTAGATCTGGGCTCCTCATCCACAGAGGTACTGTACTAGAGTCTCATCCTCTGGGTGTAATCCTGTGACCATAATGACAGGTCTATTTCTGTAACTTGGCTTCTTCTAAAAGTTAAGACTTTTTAGTTGGACCAAAGACCAGAACTAAAAAAAAAAAGTCTCCAGGCACAAATAGGGAGAGAGAGTGGTACTGGTGGCACCTAGTGGGCAGAGACCAGGAATGTTATTCCGCAAACTGAAATGCACGAGACTGCCCCTCGCCATGAAGAATTCTCTGACCCAAAATGTCAGTACTGCCATGTTTGAGAAACTCTGCCATAATAGCCGACCCACTGCGACCATGGGCTAAGCCAAACAAAACAAAATCTTTCAAAATCCACTTTAGAGATTTTCTGTGGACAACTTCAGGGCAAACTCCTGGTCCGGTTGACGCTCAAATGTCAGCATTAATCCACAGCCTTAAGTTTTCCCTGCAAACCTGATCAGCACACAGCGAGCATACAAACCTTTCCTCCCTTTCTTTACTATTATGAATGGCAAAGGCATCAAATCTGCAGCTTACTTGGCTGTGACACCACTGCCTGGGGTGCAGCTGTGTTCTGCCCTTGAAGTTCTTTACCTCCTCTTACTGGGTTACATCATCACTAGATTTATTACAAAGACGAAGGCTATGAAATTGAACAGGGTAAGCGGAAACTAACCAGCCTGTGATAATATTTATTTTTTAATCTCAGTAAGGTATCACAGAGACACAGCCCTGTGGAGAAAAGAGTGACCCTGTCACACAGAAGACTGGAAGTCATTTAAAATCAAAACTGGCATTCTAATCCTCTGAGTCTGATTTGTGAAGCTGCATCATATTGCCTTTTTTTCTAGGGCAATGGACTGCAGTATCGAATTTTATGACAGTAACGGGGTCAATTTAAATGGTGCAGCAAGCAGATTTGCCATGTAACTCGGAGAAATGGATCGCAGCAGTGCCAAATCAATTTTCTAGTACACGTCTGTGCTCAGGGGTGGTAAAATTTGCTCTTCAAAACTGAAATATGGCTCTAGGAAGTCAGGTTTTTAAGTGGATTTTCTGAGAATACGCAGTTACTATAGTTACCATATATGCAGATAAAAAGACAAGAGGAACTTTTATTAGGCCTCCAAAAGCTAATTCATGCGGCCTGCAGCCCTACAGGAAACCTGCCTGGGCTGTACACATTCACCTGTCCTAACATCCTAATTCCTCAATTTTAAGCATCTCTGCTTGAGTATTATCTTAAGAACAAGTGAATCGGTTTTAGAAATGTAAAGAAACAAATATATACTCCCTGGAAAAATGTGTGGCCAGAAAAATCAAGAGACTTTGCTTCCAGGAGAACTGGAAAAAGTCAAAGCATTACAAAAATGAAAACAAAACCAAAAAGTAAACAATTCCCTAACTCAATAAAAAGGTCCCTATAATAAAACAAAGTCTATTATTACACTTACCTTGGGAACTCTCCTGGACAAAATATCTACGTCTGCTTAGTTCTCATTAGAGCATCAAATCCTTAAAGACAAGTGAACGTTCATCTAACTCAAATGAAAACCTTTTCCCCTGAGCATTAAAAGATTTGGAGTAAATAATAAAGAATTCTGAAATAGTCTATTAGCAGTTTCCTTTCCTCCTCTTTCCATTTTTTCCCTATGTATTATTATGCCACAAATCTAAGTAGCTTCAATATTCTTTTTTTTTTTTTTTTGAGATGGAGTCTCGCTCTGTTGCCCAGGCTGGAGTACAGTGGCGCAGTCTCGGCTCACTGCAACCTCCATCTCCCGAGTTCAAGCAATCCTCCTGCCTCAGCCTCCTGAGTAGCTGGGATCAATATTCTCTCGTCTGAAGATTTTCTTCAGCACTTGGAAGAGTGACAAAACCTAAGAGAGGAATTGGGAACCTGAAGATGTTTTAGCATAAACTACCTTGCCAATCAACTGTAGTGTTTCATCGTGGTGGTCACTGACATCTAGAATCATGACCCTGATGGTATTAACTTCCTATGTTAAATAAAGGCTCAATTCTATTAACCAAGGGGTACTCTGAGGCAAGAAAGCAGACTGACGTAGTTAAGAAAGATCATTACTAGTAAAGAACCAAACAAGAATTTTCTGACTAAGCCTCAGTTAACCAGCAAGCTCATTTACCCCTGACACCCACCCTGCTCCTTCCTCACAAGTCTTTTGGTTAATCAGGGTATTCAAGAAAGCCCCGAACTAAACTAAACCTGCTCACTATCAGCAAAAGCTCCCAGCCAACAGTCAAAAACAGCCTGCAGCACACAAAGTCCTGAAACTTTGAAGCACGTAGCTTTAAAAGGCATATTCCCTCTCAAAGATACCACAGATACCCAAAGATCACCAAATCCACGCTGCCCTGAGTACCTGGCAAAGAACAGCTTCTCCCCCATGAGTTCCAAAGGGCATGTGCACAATCATCCTGTCCTTGTCCTCGTTCTCCAGGTGGCCCTGGAGCCCGCCAGGGCTGAGCCGCTCTCCGGGGCCTTCCTGGTACCTGCAGCCACTGCTCAAGACGCTGAGCTTCACCTCACTCTGGTCAGCCTTGGAGAAAACTAAGTTCTGAACCGTCTTCCGCAGCACACCCTTGCTTGTCACCTGAAAGCCACCAAAGGTGAAGGACGAAGACAGGCCCAGCACCTTCCCTCCCTGAGACAGATAGGCCATGAACTTCTGGTATAGGACTTCGGGAATGGACTCCCTGGTAGCAATGACCAATAGCAGACAGTTGTCCGTCCACGGGTCTTTGAGGGCACTTTCCTCCAGCAGGTGGTAGAGAATGTAACTGTCAACGTCCACACAGTCGGCCAGCACGGACTGGACCTCCTGGAAGCGGCCGAGGGCTTCCTGGGAGTCGGAGCCCACATAGAGGAGGATGTTGGGTGCCTTTCCCGTGAGGTTGACTCTCCTCCCCTCTCTTTCAGGGCCAGTCTCATCAGCAACACTCTCCAAACTGCTGCTATAATCATAGGGAAGATCTGGAATGTTCTCTGCAGATGCAAACTTGACTGACTCAATGGTGCTGTTCTCAAGTTCCAGACACTCATGGCAACTGGACAGATGGAGGTGATAATGCTCAACGAGGCCCCCTCCCCTGTCACTATCCCCAGCAGGTTCACTCCCAGAGGCACTGCCTCTCCTCTGTTTGGACTCTTCACCAAGAGCCTTCTGGTCATCTCTACCAACGTGCTCCATACTGTCCTGCTCAGACTTAGTCTCGAGAGAAGATTCAGGCTTCGGTTCTAGGATCTGGGCTTGCTTGTTTGAGGCCTGATCCGTCACTTCCTTCAGGGTGGAGTCCTGCAAGCGCACCGCTAAGGAAGGAACAGGAGAGAGAGAGAATTAGCAGCACTTCTTGTGTGACACACAGCTCATCTCAAGAATCTCATCACCCGCTCTGCATTCTGGGACTTACATTTCAGGACAGCCACTGGCACGGCTCCCTCCTGCATTGCCCCTCAACCTGGGGACATCCTTTGGAAACACTAATTGTTCCTGCCTAAAGACCCCAAGTGAAATCAGCAGTTTGCCCAACATCTCTTACACCTATCGGAGAACCTAAGAGCCTCTTACTGAATGGTGAAGAAACTGAGATTCAGAGAGGTGCCTTTGCCTCCTCACTTACAGATTCTATTTCTTGGGTGTTGTTCTCCTTTATGATAATGAAACTGAGCAATAAAAAGGACACATATCTAGAGTCTACCCCGCTATGCCCCAGTGAAATGTCAGTCTCAGAACATGTCATAGGATCAGTGGGAGAAGACTCTTCCCAGTATCTTGTCTCGGGACTGGAACATAAGTTGACCATCACTGATTCCAAAATGTTTATTGAGCACTTACTGTGTGTCAGACATGGTATTAGAGACATGTACGAGGTGATTCTGGATATTAAGGGATTTACCTAAACTTCCAGAGCTGATAAGGGACATTTATTTGCCCATGAGACGAAAGAAGACATTTATAGACATAAAAAGCCTGTTTTTAAGTCTAATCAAGGAAGAAGAGTTTGCATGTTTCCTGAAAAGCAATTTGTCCCCAAAAATTGTGGTAGACAAATTGTAAGTGAAAAGCTGCTTGGTTTAGCACTTCACAGTAATCTAGCTATGCCTCCCACGCAATCCAAACTAGAGTCTAGACACCAGTTATTCTGTATTAAACTGTATGACATAAATATCAGATGGGTTCTGAATATGAATGCCTCATGAGCAATGCAGTTATGAAACATTCTTGTTTAAGAAATTTAGTAGGCCGCGCGTGGTGGCTCATGCCTGTGATCCCAGCACTTTGGGAAGCCAAGGAGGGCTGGTCACCCAAGGTCAGGAGTTTGAGATCAGCCTGACCAACATGGAGAAACCACATCTCTACTAAAAAAACAAAATTAGCCAGGTATGGTGGCACATGCCTGTAATCCCAGTTACTCAGGAGGCTGAAGCAGGAGAATTGCTTGAACTCAGGAGGCAGAGGTTGCAGTGAGCTGATATTACACCATTGTACTCCAGCCTGGGTAACAAGAGCAAAACTCCGTCTCAAAATAAAAGAAATTTAATAAGCACAAAAATGTACCCCCCCCAAAAAAATATACACCTGACACGTGCATGAATTGTATATTGTCAGAGTAAAATCAAACGTATTGACTGAATTAAACTGAAACTAAGCATAGCCCTTATGTCATACCAGTAACAGTACTCAGCAGTCCTTAAGCTAATAACCTAGAGTGTCCCACTAGGATAAAATCTTTTCTTATTTTATTTCTTTGAGACAAAGTCTCACTTTGTCACCCAGACTGGAATGCAGTGGTGTGATCATGGCTCACTGTAGCCTCAACCTTCCTGCTCAAGTGATTCTCCCACCTTAGCCTCCCAAGTAGCTGGGATCTCAGGTATGCACCACCACACCCAGTCGATTTTTTTTTTTTTTTTGCTTTTTTTGGAGATGGGGGTCGATGTTGCCCAGGCTGGTCTCAAACTCCTGGGCTCCAAGTGATCCTCTTGTCTTGGCCTTTCAAAGTGCTGGGGTTATAGGCATCAGCCACTATGCATGGCCAATAAAAACATTTTCTAAAGTTACTTACACACAATCTTTTGGGGTACCAGACCGTTATCCATCTGGAGTCTATCTTCCATGAACGCCACCCCCAGCTTGCTGAAGTTGTCCACACTTGCTTCCGCAATTAACCGATAAGGATCCCCAGGTCTGCAAGCTAATGGCAAGCAACAGTCGGACCACTTGACAATCTGAGAAAAAGCAGAAGAGGGAGGAGGTAGGAAAAGACAGGTTGAGATTTTTCTTCTCTAAAATAACCAGATACTTTATTTTCCCCTTGAGGCTCTTACCACTAAATTACAGTCACTAATAACAAATGACTAGATATTGCATTTTATTAATAGCAGAGGTGTTCTGAATCAAATATGCTCATCTCTACCTGACAACAGTGCTTATAAAACACTAAATACAACTCTCATTTAAAAGTACTGGTCTCCACTTTTTTAAGGAACTAAAAAGTAAAGGGACATTCCCCAGACACCGGAAAAACATCGTGTATAGCTCTTTAAAAGCAGAGAAGAGAGAACGAGAAGTCCACAATACCCAAGGACTTTAAATGTAACCTGTGGACCCACTTTTCTCAATTTGTGATCCAAGACCAGGTGCAACAGACCTCCCAGGGAGCTCATCAGACCTTCAGAGTCCCAAGCACAACTCCCTCCCTACCTGCTGCACTGGACTCTGAAATTGAAGTCCAGGAATCAGAATGTTAAAACCTGCTTCCCCTGTAGTTCCTGCACTCAAGGAACTGTGAGAACAATCCAAAAAGACTCTCCAGTGCCCGCCTGTAAGGAAGTTCACGTTCCCACCACAAGAGGGACAGGGAAAAACAGAGCAGGCAAACACCCCGCTAAGGCTTCCAGTTCTTACTACAGAAGACGTGGGACCGGGACCCCGAACACCCATGCTCTCTCTGAGGGTTCCCATGGAGAAGAGAACCTACGAGGTGAAGAGCCCGGCACTGTAGTCAGGGGTCTGAGCCCAAGTCAAAGGCAACTAATCATCACTCTCTGTCCTCGGGCAAGCTTCTGACCCTCACAGCGTCCTCATTTGTAAAATGAGAATACTGGCAATATTAATATTAATAAATATAATTTAAAGCTTGGTTGTGTAAATGAGATTAGAGTATACCTAATGCCCCCTGTAAAAGCTTATATCTGCCAGAATAAAGTGCTCAATGACTGGAAGCTGCTTCTATTAGCTATCACAAATGTGGCTTTAAAAGCAGCAGTGAGCAGGGCGGTCTTTTTCTAAGATGCCGTGAATGAGTCCTCTACTTCCTAAAGATATCTTCTCAGGGACACACTACCCAATGTCATAATTATAGATAAATAATTTTGAATTCCATTTTTATTTATTTGTATGTATTTATTGAGATGAATACTCGCTATATCACCCAGGCTGGTCTCAAACTCCTGGCCTTGAGCAGTTTCTCCACCTCAGCCTCCAGAGTAGCTGGGACGACAGGCTCAGGCCACCACACTTGGCTTGAATTCCATTTTATATGATGGTGGGCTAGGGTTCAGAACACCTCCTAAAAACCATTTTTAAAATGCTGGATAAAAAAATGAATAAAGTCCTACCTTAAAAGTCTAGAACTTTTAAGTCTAGGTAATAGTGAAGTTCCAGGCCAAGTGCTGGGATAAATCCTGAACCTTCCAGAGCCAAAGGGATTCCTCCTGCAAGACAAGCCACTTCTGCCCCCAGGGTCCTTGCTCATCCAGGCAACTTGGCCTCCAAAAGTCAATGTCCAACTGGCGTAAGCACAGACACATAGTGATATGGTTTGGCTGTGTCCCCACCCAAATCTCATCTGGAATTGTAATCCCCATGTGTCAAGGGAGGGACCTGGTGGGAGGTGACTGGATCATGGGGGCAGTTTCCCCCATGCTGTTCTCGTGACAGTGAATGAGTTCTCATGAGATCTGACACTTTTAAAGTGTTTGGGCTGGGTGCAATGGTTCATGCCTGTAATCCAAGCACTTTGGGAGGCCAAGGCAGGCAAACCATCTGAAATCAGGAGTTTATGACTAGCCTGGGCAACATGGTGAAACACAATCTCTACTAACAATACAAAAATTAGCCAGGCATGCTGATAGATGCCTGTAATCCCAGCTACTCAGGAGGCTGAGGCAGGAGAATTGCTTGAACCCAGGAGGTGGAGGGTGTAGTGAGCCAAGATCGTGCCACTACACTCCAGTCTGGGTGACAGAGCAAGATTCTGTCTCAATCAATCAATCAATCAAGTGGTAGTTTCTTCTGTCTCTTGCCTGCCACCATGTAAGACATGCCTTTGCCTTCCACCAGGACTGTAAGTTTCCTGAGGCTTCTCCAGCCATGAAGAACTGTGAATCAATTAAACCTCTTTCCTTTATAAGTTATCAGTCTTGAGCAGTTCCTAATAGCAGTGTGAAAAGAGACTAACACATATAGACTAACAGAGAAGAACTGAGAGTATAGAAATAAACACACATTCATGGACAACTGGTCCATGAATTTGGGAAAGGGTGCCAAGACAATTCAATAAGGAAATAATAGTCTTTTCAACAAATGGTACTGGTACAACTAGATAACCACGTGCGAAAAGAATGAAGATAGGCTGGGCACGGTGGCTCATGCCTGCAATCCCAGCACTTCAGGAGGCCACAGCAGGCAGATTGCCCGAGGTCAGGAGTTCGAGACCAGCCTGGCCAATGTAGTAAAACCCCATCTCTACTAAAAATACAAGAAATTAGCTGGGCGTGGTGGCAGGCACCTGTAGTTCTAGCTACTCAGGAGGCTGAGGCAGGAGAATCACTTGAACCCGAAGTGGAAGTTGTAGTGAGCCAACATTGCACCACCGCACTCCAGCCTGGGTGATAGAGCAAGACTCCGTATCAAAAAAAAAAAAAAAAGAATGAAGATAAACCTTTTCCTCACACCATGCAGACCATGTATAAAAATTAACTCAAACTGGATCAAATACCTCATTATAAGAGCTAAAACTATAAAATTCAGAAAAAAAAAACATAGGCATAAATTGTCATGACTTTTGATCAATCAATGGTTTCTTAGATAAGACACCAAAAGTACAAGCAGCAAAAGAAGAAACAGAGAAATTGGACTTCATCAAATTTTTTTCTGCTTCAAAAGATATCAAGAAAATGAAAAGACAACACAGAAAACAGAAGAAAATATTGGCAAATCATATAAGAACCATATAAGAACTAGGCTAATATCCAGAATCTACAAAGAACTAAAACAGATTTACAAGAAAAAAAAAACCCATTCAAAAGCGGGTGAAGGATACGAACAGATGCTTTACAAAAGAAGATATCAATGAGACCAAGAAACATGAAAAAATGCTCATCATCACTGGGCATTAGAGAAATGCAAATCAAAACCACATTGAGATACCACCTCACACCACTTAGAATGGCGATCATTAAAATATCTGGAGACAACAGATGCTGGAGAGGATGTGGAGAAATAGGAACACTTTTACACTGCTGGTGGGAGTATAAACTAGTTCAACCATGTGGAAGACAGCGCCTCAAGGACCTAGAAATAGAAATTCCATTTGACCCAGCAATCCCATTACTGGGTATATACCCAAAGGATTATAAATCGTTCTATTATGAAGACACATGCAAACGTATGTTCATTGCGGCATCGTTTACAATAGCAAAGACCTGGAACCAATCCAAATGCCCATCGATGATAGACTGGACAAGGAAAATGTGGCACATATACACCATGGAATACTATGTAGCCATAAAAAAGATGAGTTTGTGTCCTTTGTAAGGATATGGATGAATCTGGAAACCATCATTCTCAGCAAACTGACACAAGAACAGAAAACCAAACACCATATGATATCGCTCATAGGCAGGTGTTGAACAATGAGAACACGTGGACACAGGGAGGGCAGCATCCTACACTGTGGTCAGTTGAGGGGGGCTAGGGGAGGGACAGATGGGTGGGGAGGATGGGGAGGGATAATGAGGGGAGAAATACCAGATATAGGTGATGGGGGGATGAAGGCAGCAAACCACCTTGCCATGTATGTATCTATGCAACAATCCTGCATGATCTGCACATGTACCCCGGAACCTAAGTTACAATTAAAAAAAAAAAGAACTAGTACAAGTCAACAATAAAAAGACAATCCAATTTAAAAATGGGCAAAGGATGTAAACAGACATTTCTCCAAAGAATATATACAAACGCCCAATAAGCACATGAAACACTGCCCAGCATCATCAGTCACTAAGGAAATGTGTATCAAAACCACAGTGAGACACAACGTCATATCCACCAGGATGGCTGCAATCAAAACAGATGGACAATAAAAATACCGATGAGGACGAGGAAAAACTGGAACTCTAATACATTACTGGTAGAAATTAAAGTGCTGCAGCTGCTTTGGAAGAGTTTGGGAGTTCCTCACAAAGTTAAACATAGGCCAGGCATGGGATCACGCCTGTAATCCCAGCACTTTGGGAGGCAGAGGCAGGTGGATCACCTGAGGTCAGGAGTTCGAGACCAGCCTGACCAACATGGTGAAACCCCATCTCTACTAAAAATACAAAAAATTAGCCAGGTGTGGTGGTGCATGCCTGTAATCCCAGCTACTCAGGAGGCTGAGCCAGAAGAATCGCTTGAACCTGGGAGGCAGAGGTTGCAGTGAGCCAAGATCATGCCACCATACTCCAGCTTGGGTGACAGAGGGAGACTCTGCCTCAAAACAAACAAACAAACAAACAAACAAACAAACTACATCGAGAAACAACTGGCAGATCTGAACTTGTTCAATAAGAACCCATACCCAAAACCCAGCATTCAGAAAGACATGGTTTCCACAACGGAAAGATCCAGAAGTACTGTAGGTTTGGTTCAAAAACCATGGAGCAAAACTCAAGAAGGCAAATACAAGCATATTTGGCAAAAACAAGAAGCTCAACAACAACAAATATCTGAGAATGAGGCCAGGTGCAATGGCTCACTCCTGTAATCCCAGCACTTTGGGAGGCCGAGGCAGGAGGATCATTTGAGCCCAGGAATTCAAGACCAGCCTGGACAACATGGCAAAACCCTGTTTCTACAAAAAAACTATAAATATTAGCCAGGTGTGGGCACGCGTGTCTATAGTCCCAGCTACTTGGGAGGCTGAGGTAGGAGAATCACTTGAGCCTGGGAAGTTGAGGCTGCA